TTGTTACTAGTAGCGATGCACTTGCTACTAGTAGCTTCTTACTAGTAATGCCCTTGTTACTAGTAGCGATGCACTTGCTACTAGTAGCTTCTTGTCAGCAGTAATGCACAGCCCTTGTGTAGCTTCTTGTTACCAGTAGTAATGCCCTTGTTACTAGTAGCGGTGCACTTGCTACTGGTAGCTTGTGCTCTATATCTATTTGCACAGAGGTAGCCGATACCAACGCCTTTTCACAGCTTCTGGACGAGTCGTGTGTGTGTGTGCCAACATTCAGGTTCCTTGTACGTATCAAATCAAATCTTTATTTTATTATTAGAAGGTATATACATAATATTATATAGAGCAACAGAATTATCAAAAGAAAAGTGATGTGTTGGGCTGACTCAGCAGGTTCATGTTCAATCCACAAGTCCTAGTCCTAGGTCGCAATTTCAATGTAAGGCCATGTGAGGTTGATAGGATTTGGGCAAAGTAAGTGAACAGCAAATCAAAAGCCCGTGACTGTCGATCTTATAGCCAGCCAGCTTTGGGCCACACTACGTAGTTTTTGGTTGAAAAACGGATGCAACATCATGCGAACGTCCATTGCATGCCCTGGTTCCAAGGCGCCCGTTGAGGCGTTGGATCCCGAAGACTGGGACTTTGCCGACTTCTCACTCGTGGCGAACATGACGCCTGCGACGGAACCAGTGTACCGACCACACCAGTACTCTGACCGAACAAAGCTCCACTCGTCTCCACTCGATCTGAGGCCACAAGTCATCACAAGCCAACAAAAAGAGCTACAGTTGTGAGGCCAAAGAAATGGTGAGGAATGACCCCTCAACAATGGTGTCAAGAGTGCTCCTCTCAACACTGCCACAGCTAGGGCATGTGGTGGCAACGCTTTCTCGGATCAACAGGCGTGTGACGGATCCCTCCTCAAGAAGCTACTAGTAACAAAGGGCATCGCTTCTAGGAGCAAGGACGCTACTGGGGGCTCCTGGCCTTACTACTAGGAGCATTCTTACTACTAGGAACAAGAAGCTACTAGTAAGTTTGTCGCGGAACCCTCAAACAACAATACAACACTGGACAAAGTCATTACAGTACGTATGTCATTCAAACACACCTGTTCGCTCATGTACCAAGAACCCCTAGGGGGTTCAACAATCTCGGTTTCATCGTGCGATATCTTTATGGTGCACGCCTTATGAGCATCTCCGTTTCATACAGGAACCCCCAGCCATTCTAGGCAAATCCATAGCCTCATGAGGGCTAAGGTTTTTCGTCTTCATTCGTGTGTCCTCTCCATGTGCGTTTCAGGCCTTGGCCTTGACTATCTTGACCTTCCTTCATGGCATGGAGAGCACTGAAGCAAGCTCTTGCTTGAGCCGGTGATCGAGCGAACGCCAGCGGATGTCACAAAGGGTGTCAGCAAAAAGCCAAAACAGGGCTGGGTGTTTGCCGCTTCTTGAAACCATTGCTAGCTGCAGGGCTCAAGACTGTTCTTGCAGGGCCTGGGTCGAAACATGACATTGTGAGCCATCAGCAATCAGGTCTGTCATGGTGTGTCAAAAACCAGGCTCTCCATGAAAGGAAAATCCAACCAAACACCAACTCGGTGAAGGATTGCTCTGCAAGCGGCTATTATTCCTGATTGAGCAGAGTGCGCCATGCTTCCTCCTGTTGGGGCCTTTGCCGGAATTTCAAGAGCCTTTCAAGAAGACAGTGTTAAGGTAGGGTCGGGTCTACCTTCCAATCAGGATATATATATATATCATACTACTGATGTATACTGTATTACTGTATTATGATGTATGATGTGTAATCATGGTACATTATGATCATGCTGGGATCCACCACACACAATTCATTTCTTCATTTCAGGAACATCTCGACTCGATCGCCGTCTGACACTGTTGCCGGAAACAGCTCTCTGCCTGTTGCCCTCATCTCCATGCACGAGTCACGCGTGCAGGGGAAGCCGACCTTATTGGAGACGGTCACCCTGTCACCGTGTCGACACAGGACTGAGTCTCATTCTCAGCACTGACTGACGCATGGCATGGTGGTTCAGACGCCTTGGGAATGCGTCTCAAGTTAAACACTGTAAAACACCACTCACCTAGACCCAACCGATGAATACAGTACTCTTTCTTGTCCAAGAAGCAAGCTGCGCACCAGTGGGGGGCTGTAGAGTGACTGGATGCCAGAGTTTTGTTCCCAGAAACGGCACCCAACTCTATAATGTAACTTTCTGTGTCTCAATGTCAGTGTCAGTGAGAAACATCAAACGACCGTCATTCTTGTGGACTGCAAGGGAGATGTGGTGTTCTCAGATCCATGCCGTGCTTGCTAAGTCTCAGGAGTCGCGGTGAGAGCTCCAAAACGAAAAGGCATATGATGTGTTTCAACCGGCCATAGGAAGAACTGGTGAACCGGACCGTGAATGGTTCACTCAAGGATCCTCTCCAAGCCAAGTTGCAAGGATGGAACACGATGACCATTAACAATTGCCTGCAAGCGGCCAAATGAATCGATTCGGTGGTACAAAGCATGATGGACTGCTCCTTCAGTCTGCAATAGAGATTGCTTTGCTGCTGACTGTTTCAGCAACCTGTTTTGGTCTTCTGTCGCAGTACAGTGCCCATGATGGAACTTCACCACCGGACCAAGAGAGAAAGAAAGGTCGGAAGAACCAACCTGTACATACCTGCATCAGTATTACTAGTGGGGAGGTCAGCCTAGTCAGTCCCCGTTTCCCTTTGGCGATGGTTGACTCGTTCACCTTCTTGAATTCGATTCAAAAGACGCATGCTTTGCCGAGCTTTCCAAGGCCGGAGCCCGGTCAAATGCAGCCAGACCTTCCGTGGCCTTGGGTGTGGCTGAAGAAAGGCTTCTGTGGCAATCGCCCTTTCACCCATCGGCAGCTGCAATGGCAATTGCTTCTTCAAAATCTGGGGCTGTGTCCCTGGGTCGTTCAAGCACAACTCTGAGAATCTCTGCAGATTCTCCTCAACTTCTGGCCAGTCTGTGGCCATCACAAGTGTCCGCACACTTGGCATGTTGGACTGTGGCCTAGAAGGCACGTCGCTTCCTTGACGTCGAAACCTCAAGCGTGCTTCTTGTACGTCGTGGAGCTCTGTGTCCAAGTCTACAAGCAAGGCCATCTGCTGCAGCTCCGGGCAACAATGACATGAGCTTACTGCGCTTTCAGATGTTGCTGAATGCCCATCAGGCTTCATCTGTGCTTCCAAGCTGTTCGCCAGAAGTTGTGTCGGTACTGCATCCTCCGCAGCGTCTGGCGGGCAAGAATCAAGATCCTCTTTGAAGGCGATGAGATGGTACGGCTTCAAAGCACCGAAGAGGCCTGGGACGGCAACATGGTAGATGTTGGCACCAACTCGTATGCCTGCTGATCCACGCAAATAGAGCCGCAAGCATGGATGTGCACAGGGATCTGGTGAGGAATGTAGTGCTCTACATTTGCTTTTTCTTGTGGATGCGTCAATGAATTCACTGAAGCGCTGCTGCTCGGATTTGTCCGCAAGCAAATGCTCAAAAGATCGGCCCATAAGGCTCACATCGGTCAGAATCAAATTTTTCAAGCAGTCACTTTCCTGTGCCACCTTCATCTGACTGTCCAAGAGTAGCTCACCATCGCAAACCCCTCGCAACATCCTCCGGAAACTGGAGACCAAGGACTCTGCGTCAGCAGAATCCAACTTTGCAACCACTCGTCCTCGCAGCAACAAGTCGATGGACGCTGAGCAGGCGATGGTGATCACCAAGGTGAAGAACTCATCGCAGCAAAAAGGTGCCCATGGCACACTAGACTGTTCGATGCAAAACACATACACGAGGATGTTCAGTGTGGTGTACATCACTTGAAAAGGTATGGACACTGATGGGTCGAGAAATGTAAGTATCACCACAAAGCGAACTGCGGTCAGAAAGCCTCGCACCATGGAAAACGCACCCGCACTCCCACCAAGGCCTGCACAAATAAATAGAAAGAACGCCATCAAATGCGAAAGCCAGCAAAGGAACTTAAGACGACAGGGTGTAAGTTCTATCACGCCCTGCCCAAACATCATGTGGTGTGTATACCCCAGAATGGAACAAACAGTCCAGGCAATGGTGTTGAGCTCTGGTGCTTTGATCGCTTGGTGGGCAAAAGTGATGCCAACCACAAAAGCAAGATGAGCACAGCAGCGGGTAAACAACTTGTAGTTCCTCTGACGAAGTTTCATCATCTCTTCCTCGATTCGGGATTCTTTTAAGGAATCGACCTCAAAATCCTCCACATGGAAAACAGAAAAGATCCATTGTAGCAGCTCTTCCGCATCAGCCTTTGACACATAGAAATGCACAGGGACCAGAATAGAGACCACAGTGGCGAGCATTGCCCAGGAATCCATGGCTGCTGAGTGCTAAGGAAATGGCACAGGCAGCAAACTCATACTCATACTCCAAGTGTTTTTTGTGCTATGATTGCTCAGTGGGGCTGTGTGGATTGATTTGATGGGACTTAATCCGTGTTCTACCAACAGTGTCCTGTGCCCCCGATTTGCACACATCCACCTGGCCAACAGAAGTGATTCGTTTCTGCGCTTGGCCGCTGTGATCTGCGTGATCCATTTGATCTGTTTGGCGCTTTTCGTCGCAGGGCTCCGTGCATTCGCAGCGCTCGTGCATTCGCAGCCGTGTTCGCAGCCTACGAAATGGCCTCGTCTCGTCGGAACAAAGCCTCAAAGAAGTCGATCAAAGCCTTCATAGCACCTGCGAACGGCACGAGAAGGACTGTGGAACATGGTGCACACGGATTGAAAGGATGAGGATGACGATAGGGTGGCATGCCTTGAAACCGGCCTAAATGCAAAAAGTTGGAGACTTCAGGGTTTGTCCAACGACTCACGACTCACTCAAAGAAAACGCACCTGTCCAACGGTCTACTCCCACCAGACCACCTTGCCAACCCAACCATTTGGTTGAGCGACAACGACAATTGTTGAACCAACTGAGTGTGGTTCAACCCTTCGATAGGGATCCCCAAATAGAGTCAAAGAATGTCCAAGAAGTTTTGACCCACACCCCCTACAAATGTCTCTTTGTAGGTTGACTCCGACAAACCACTCGCAATTCAACGTTTTCTGCTTGGTTTCGTGTCTGGTCTGTGTTTGAGTGCTCGCCTGGTGCGTCCTCCTCCCACATGGAATCGTCTGGAATCGGCAGGGGAACCTCATTCCTTGGCGTGAAACGCCAATCTCAGGTCGGCGGGCGAAGCAAAGGAGGCAACAACCAACTTCGTGGATAGCCACGGCTCAAGAGTATCACCCGAAGGTGCAGTTAAAAAGGGAAAAGGTACCTTTTTAAAAGAACCAAATCTGCAGGTCCCTGGGTCCAACTTTGGAGCCAGCTAACGAAGGTTCAGATGTTACGGTCCCCCTTTGCAGTTGTGTCTGTTTTAGGACCAAATTGTTTTTATATCTTTTATCCATGTGCACAAGAACAGGGCCAAAAGCCGGATTGTATCCACCACAAGACTTCCAAACAGGCACCCTTACCAATGATTCATGCACCTTCAATTCTATATGAGTCGGCAGAAACCAATCTTCCTCGTCCGTCTTCCTGTCCACGTGTGCGGAACACAAGTGTGCCAAGCTTCCTGCATCGACGTGCCAGCAAGGCCAAGGATTGCCACTGCTCCAGCAAGCGCCGCCAGAACGCTTCAGCCTTCTGCCTCAGACCGAAATGTTGCACTGTATGTTGGCAAATCATCCATCAACTGATTGGGCGCCAAGTGGGCTGGGGGAAGCTCCCGAGAACCGTCGCTGCAGGTGGGCAGCTGAATGTTCTACTTGATTTGGTTCGGACGACCAAAAGTTTTCTCGAGATTTGAGCAAACCAAGCTGACCAGCAGGAGAGGATATTGCAACCTCAATGGTTCAAGTCATGCCTGAGTCACACCCAATGACGAAACACCATCCAACACTGATGCCTCAAATGGTTGAATTAATCAACCACATAGCTCAGCCCTCAGGGGTCAGGGGATGGCTAAGTTTCCCTAAAATTCTAGGAACCAAATCATTAGTCATTGTAACCATTGTATAGTGCGAGCGCTTCTTCAAGGAAGTTCCCTTTAGGGCGGCGGGGGAGCTTCCTTGAAGAAGCATGAGCTATCCTGGGTCCATACTAGTAGCTTAAGTAGCGATAAGTTTACTCCCTTACCTCCTTATATAAGTAGGCGTGCGCCTACTGAATGAGGGTAGGAGCGGGCTTTAAAAAACCTCTTTGTTTCAAGGTTCACCTGCCAAGCAACAATTTCTCCTCGGTCTGCCGGCGCTCTGAGGCCTCGTTTTCCCAAGCGCTCCGCAGTGCTTCCTTCAATGCCCGTTCCTCCTCCAGGGGAGACCTGACAGGGCAGCATTGCCCACAATCTTTAGGAATCTCCAGGATTTTGTTTGACATGTATATATATATATGTATATGTATAAGTATAAATACATGAATACATATGTATATGGATGATATATACAAAAAAGGGGGTGAAGGTAAAGTCGATTAAGTATGCCATCAAATATGACCCAAAACAACGAATGGAAACCCTGGTCGGGAGTCGACTGGTCGGGAGTCGACTGTTGAAGGCTCCATGATTTGACAGGGTGCTCACACACGACTCATCGTTCGGACCACTCCCTTATAAGCCGACTCGACGGCTGCACAAGTGCCAAGTGCCGGTGCAAATTATGCAAGAGGCTAACAGGCTGAAGGGCTTGCTGGTATACCCCATAGGTGATGCGACAAGTTTAACACTGCAGAAGTGTTGCAGAAGGTGGCACCTTTTTCACTCGTGCCCACCCTCGCTGGCCAAGCCTCTCTCCAACTCCTCTCGCAGCAAGGCGCTGCTGCAAAGCACCTGTCGCCTCCCATGGGAGAAACAGATGCCCTCCACACAAGAAAAGCGACTTGAGAGCAAAAAGGCTGCAAAGCACAAACGTGGGTGGCGGCGGCGGCAGCAGCAAGACTAGGACTAGGAGCAAGAGCAAGGAAACCACCACCACCACCACACCACCACCACCACCACGACGACAGCAGCAGCAGCAGCAGCAACAACAACAACAACGTTCCGCCGATGACAAATGCGCCCGAGTGTGCCTGTCAGAGCTTCAAAAGCTCTTTCTACACGGTTTCAGACGCTTGGACAATGTTACCTGCGCGGTTTGAAGTCTGGAGTGGATTTGCGTCAGCTTCAACAAGGAACAACATGGTGTAATCCTGCTGTGGATCCTCAGGGCAAAGGAGTTTATCAAACACAGCCTTTTGCAGGGTCGGCGGCACGAAGCAAAACCCACAACCACAAGCAACAACCACAGCTGCCACAACAACAACCAGGACCACGAACTGACCACCGCGGCCACCACAACAACAACAATGATGATGATGACGGCGACAAGCACGGTGATAACAGCAGCAGCAGCAGCAGCAACAACACAAACAGCAGCTGCTGCTACTGCTGCTGCTCCACTTCCACTTCCACTCCCACTCCCACTACTACTCCTTCTCCTCCTCCTACTCCTACTCCTACCCCTACCCCTGCCCCTGCTCCTGCTCCTGCTACTGCTACTGCTACTGCCACTGCCACTCCTACTCCTACTACTGCTACTGCTACTGCTGCTACTACTACTACTGCTACTACTACTCCTCCTCCTCCTGCTGCTGCTGCTGCTGTTACTGCTGGTACTGCTGGCACTGCTGGTACTCCTGGTACTACTGGTACTACTGTTAATACTGTTACTACTGTTACTACTACTGCTACTCCTCCTCCTCCTGCTCCTCCTCCTGCTCCTGCTCCTGCTGCTGCTGCTGCTCCTGCTCCTGCTCCTGCTGCTCCTGCGCTATCAAGCTTTGGGAAAGAAAAAGTTTGCCATGGTCCAGAAAGAATCCAAATTGCTTGGAGCCATGATCCAACGTCTAATCCAGTCCAGTCAGAAGCCTTTCAAACCTTGGGATTCTAAAGTTGGCTCAGCCTCGCGACTTGAACATCTTGCAGAGAATTCCAAAGCAAACATAGACCTTCCCTCTTCGATAGCAGCCCACCGGACCCGCCTTCTGCGCCGCCTCGAGGCCGGTACGAGCTGCGTCACTCAGCTCAGAGCGCAGGCCACCCACGCTGCGGCCGATCCTCAGACGTGCCACGATCGCGTTGATCGATGACGTGACATGATTCTTGCTGATTTGTAGACATTTGTCAAAGGATGTCTATGCCAAGGAGATATGCACAAATGTCTGATGTCTATGCATGCATGTCTCCTTGTCCGGAGTTCTCTTCAGCACGATAGCGTCTGGGAACGTGGCGAACCTCTTGAAGTCTTGGGTAAGTTGGGTACAGTGGGATATGCCGGCGAAAAGGGCCAATATGGCATCGCTATGTGTTTAAGGTGCTCACAACTCCCTCCTGTTTCAAACATGTAAAATTCATGAGTCACTGTGAGTACTGTATATAAGTATCCGATTGCTCTCCGGACGTGGAAATGCGGTAGTTGTTAGGTGTTCTTAGGAATCGGTCAAAAGTTATTGCGTCTGCTTGAAAGTAACGGTCGGACAGTAACGGCTCAGGATATGCAATAGTCTGCTGGGTGAGTTGCCCCCATGTGAGGGCCGGCACTCTATGAGGGCCAGCGCAGTCGAGTGTCTCCATGAGTTCCTTGGCCACAGCCATGGCCTTTCGATCGCCCTCCTCTGCTTTCCTGAGCAGTTCTGCACACTCCCCACTGCAGCTTTTGTCAACTCCTCGCTACCTTTCTGCAAACACAGTGACCCCAACGTTCAGTCGCCCACAAGTCCATTCACCACTACTTAAGGAATCTAGCTAGTCTAGCCAACCCACGGTCAAAGTCCAAGTTGACAAAATGTGGATCGTGTTCGAACCGCAGGATCACCTTTTTTGAATAAACAACCAGTAGTTTCTGAAAATTAACAGAACAGTCTCCAGTCTCCCAGAACATGTTCAGTTCTACAAACAACATCAACGTTCCTTTGGCTCAAATCGTCTCAAAAAGCTTTGGGCACAAGTTGCTGGAAGACCAAAATCATTGCAAAACCAATCAAAACCATAAGCCAACACCTGCTTAAGGAAACACTTGGGAACACTATCAGATGCGTTTTCGTTTTTGTAGAATACAAACAAAAGAAATTCCATGCTTCCACGGGACTGTTCACTTTCCGCCAGCTCTCTCGCTAGGCGCTGAGCTGCTGCTTCCAACCGCCGCGCTTCAGCACGCGCCTGGCCGAATCACGGAATGGTTGTCCGTTCGACGTGCTTTCGATCCAATGGTTCGGTTCCAAGCGTTTGTGGTCTCCTCAAGAGTTCCAGCACGTGCCCCAAAGAAACCAAGTGTTCCTGACCTTGTTACTGTTGAGCTTCATTCTGCCCTGCCCGTTCATGTCGAAGCTTCGCGC